CATGAAGTCAACATACCAGGCTGGTCAATAGAGTTTGAACTTTTAATGAAACGAAGTTGCATTGTTACATTGAAAAACTGTAACAACTAGGAAGAATTTTGCAAATCAGAAAAAAATGGACAGGGCAAATCCGAGAGCAATAAATTAAATTGGTGTGGCCTCATGACGGAAAAAAATTTTTGCCCAATCCATCACCTTGACAGACAAAAAATCTACGTGCTAAGATATAGAAAGAGATGTCAAATGTTAAAACTAAGCTTAGTCTGCCCCTCAATGCAGGAAATAGTGCTCCAGAGGTTCAAGGTTTCAACATTTTCTTGGGGGAGCATGCCACCGGCTCCCCTAGGATCGTTGCGCACTAAGCGTTTAACATGATGTTACGTCAATCAAACTATAGATGTCAGTAAAGTTTTTGAGGCTGCTAGAACAATGCACCAACAAGCAAGAAGTTTTAAAACTTACAAGGCAAACCCGCATTCAGATATTCCAGCCATGGCCAGTAAAACTGCAAGTCAGCTGACTTGGACCAAAACGACTCCTTCTAGCTACTTTATGAAGGTCTAATAATATACAGCAGTAGGAGAACCTCTCATAACCTTAACTGTGAATTATGGCACAAGACGACTGTAAAGTAAACTTGGCAGCACAACATAACTCAAGGTTTTCTAAGTACTGCCAGCAATCTACGATGTAAGTAATCGGCTTCTCAGCCCTCCCACAAGTCCATTCTGCTTTGGAAACACGCCAGTATCTTGGGGGGACAATCTAGCAGACCTACGCTGACCTTTCTACATTCAAAAGTTGGTGAAACATGGGTCCCCTCGGGCACTGAAGACATTTCCCGTCTCAATAAAACGTCCCAGACTCCGGCTTGAATGGGAAGAGTGCTGAAATGCTGTCAAGATGCCTTTAGACTGTGTGCATGATTGAAGGGATCGTCTTGTGAAGAGAGTGACGTATGATCCCGATTTCACTGATTCACGTCGACCTTCAAGTATATCTAAAAAGAAACATGTAACAAAGCCTCTCCCTAGAACACAGAATCACAGCATAAAAAGGTTCCACAAATAAATATTTCCCACAAACTACATGTATGTGTTTTCCTTTGAATCACAAGCCCTGTCACTCCTTAATGGTTACCGTTTATAGACGTCAACGTTTTCAGACGTAAATCTGGGTTGAAAAAGACGACAACTTCTCTACTGCTTTCAAAAGATCTACAGAAACAAAGTGCCTGGGGCAATGCTGATTTATATGTAGCATTTAACGGAGTGGATCTGATTGTGTCAGTGGATTAAAGGCAACGATAAATGAAGCCGTCACATGAAAAGCAACTTGCTTTTACGACAACTTGCCCAATACATCAGTGTCAAGATGGGAAATACATTATCAGTAGTTCTCTTTGCCTCCCCACAGTTGATAGTTACATTTGAAATGCAACAACATACATTGTAGATGCTGGGTTACAGGAAGTCTAATGCTGTGATAACAAAAACATGCAGAAGTAAACTTGAGTACCAACCAGTGTCCTAGCTAGTGTCTGTGTTTCCATCATTTGACTGAATTTTGCCACTCAAGGTTGACAAATAGTCTTTGACGGACAAAGATCAGCATGTATAGAGATATAGAAAGAGATGTCATTAAACTAAGCTTAGTCTACCGGTAAAATCTGCTGCTCAAAATGCAGGAAATTGTGCTTCAAAGGGTTAAGATGTCTAAATTTTGCCTGGGGGGAAGGCCTCCGGACATACGCAAGTTAGTGCAGGTAAAGTTGGAGCTGTGTAGGTATTTCTGATGTCTACCTGCACCTAACCTGCACTGGTCCATGTACTGGGTATATGCAGGTTAGTGCAGGTAAAATTGGAGCTGTGCAGGTATTTCTGATGTCTACCTGCACCTAACCTGCAGTTTTTATGATCCATACTTCCAATGTTCTGAGTGGTACAACTTTTGTAGAATTCGTCTGAAGCAGGTAATTTTCAACATGAACTTAATATGGTATGCAGAAAAAAGTATTTCCATCCCTGAAGATAAAAAAGGCATGGCCATTGGTGGAAGCTGTGAAAGCCTGCCGTGGGGACAGCTAGCGTAGGGAATGCCCATCAGGTCCACATCAATCAGACTGCACGGTCTGACATACCCATGATCTTTATTACCTCCTTCTTGTCCATTTTATTAGATCTTGGGATGAATTTGTATGGCCCTTGGCACTATCAATCCTTGACAGCCTCATCCTTTCACGGCAGTCTGCTTTGCTCCGAGAATGACCAATGAATTTGCAGGCAACTGCACAGCTCCAAGTTTACCTGCACTAACCTGCACACGCAGACCTTGCAACCCTCATCTGCCCAAGCAGATAGACTGAGAGAATCCATAAGCACAATCTGGCCACACCAATTTAATTTCTTGGTTAAGGGATTTTTCTAGAAAAATAATGGAGCGGGTGGGCCAAAAAAAAAATAGGCTTAGGCATCCTATTATGGCTCAAAATGGTACGATAGGAGCCATGAAGTCAAAACACCAAGCTGGTTCAAAATTTAAACAATGAATTCTGAAGTTTTTAATGATACTAGCCAGAGGCTATCATAAAGGGCTAGCCCTCACAACAAGAACATATATAAATAATTCGGAACAGGTAATCAAACCATTGCATTAAAAGATGGGATAACTGTAACAACTTGGAAGAAAAGGACTGTTTTCAACTGTTCAGGGCAAAATATGAGCATTTTGCAGTTGATTCTGAATTTTTTTTCATTGCAAATCAGAAAAAAATGAAGCGGGCAAATCCGTTAACCAAGAAATTAAATTGGTGCGGCCTCTGTAACAACTTACTGTGTTAAAATGTCTTCCATAAAATCTCTCAGGAAAATAAAACTGTTACAGTACTAGTCTCATTCCAGCGAGCACACATATCTGATCAAAAGAGACTGAAGACTGCGTACCAGTACAAGGCATGTACATGTTGTGTTTTGTACATGGGCTTATCCTATATAACATTTTTAATAAACACAACGTTAGAGACATATCTGTGACAAGATGAACCTTCCTCCCAACAGAACATGAATACTACATGCGGCAACTTTGTCAAACAATAGACCGTTGTGAGTTGTGGGACCCTGCAGAATTTCTGAAGTATGGAAGTGAGGCCACATCAATTGAATTTTTGGTTCTCAGATTTGCCTCTTCATTTTTTTCTGATTTGCAATAAAAAAAAAGTTCAACTCAAAAATGCTCATATTTTGCTCCCAACAGTTGAGAAAAGTCTCTTTCTTTCTATATGCTATATAATAGTTTTTCCATCTATCAATGCAGTGATTTGATTAAAAGTTCAAAATTCATTGTTTAACCCAGCCTTCTGCGTTGACTTCATGGCTCCTAATCGTAGTATTTGGGGCTATAATAGGATGCCCAGACCTGTTTTTATTTTTTTTTCCGCCCTGTTGTAATTTCTTCATAAAAAATCCGAGAACCAAAATATCAAATTGGTGTGGCCTGAACAGCATTTCCAATAAACTTGTGTGCTGAGCAGACATCGGTGCTGGTCCGGGGGCAGTGGGCCCATCTCGGACTGCTCGAGACGAGGCATGGCACCATAAATGCTTAACCGTCGAATCAATGGCGACACAAAATAGCCGCCCCTGGCAAAAGCTGCTTTTACCGCACCAATTACAGACTGTTCTGTACGTCTGGGAAGACGTGTCCCCCGGAAGGGTCTGTCTCAGGGAAACATCAACCATTCTGCCATGAGTCTTCAGACTGTCTACCTGGGTCCAGCCCAGAAAAGAACGAGAAACAGCCATGCCTTCAAATATCAGAGTTATCAACCAAGAATTGAGGTGTTCAAAAACTCGTATTTCCCCAGAACTACATGTATCGTAGACTGGAACTCGTTGCCACCAAGCACAGTTGGGGCATTATCGCTAGAAAGCTTTAAACAACTCCTGCAACTAAATGTGCAAAGATTGAGTGTAACAAGACTAGTCGTTCGGAGTGATATAGCTAGCTGCCGCTGCGCCGCGTGCCTGTAAAGCTGGTTTGTTACGCTGAAGGGTGGTTATACCGGCTATACTGATACAGATACATGAATTATAGATGCAGATCTCAGGAACCCTTTCCACTAGACGGCAATACATTGTATCTGAGAAACCATACTGCGACCGAAATCAGACTTGTCTATAAATTCTAATTGGAATGTGATGGAAGATGTAAAAAAAAAAAGGATGAACGAAAAGACAACAAAACACAAAAACATCACATTTTTTGTCGCTCAGTGGTCAGAGTTTCTACATATAGTGGAAAGGGGGTGTCTGATATACTACAATATACTTGCCTTGTATATGATGCTGGACTACTGTATCATTTTTTTAGAAATCAATAAAATCTACCATCTACGGTTTTTAGCAAATTTTCAATCCCAGTGCAAAATGCAAATGGTAGGTTGACTCTGAGGTTGATTTTATTTCTAATAATCTTACAATGTACTTCTATCCATGAATTCTATTTTTGATGACAAACAGCTACACACGTGTACGTAGTGCTGCATACCAGTTCACTGGATTTGGATCCGGACTTGTAAGAATGTTTAGGTTAAAGTCCAAAAAAACCTAAACGTCAAGAAGTCAAGACTTATTACCACAAAACCATTTCACATATCCCTTTTCTTTCCAAACCACCTAAAACCTTCCGTAGATTGCAAAATCTGTGCTGCAAAATGAAGAAAACATTGCCATCGAGCATCGTCAACTACCGCTCGCCATGTTATGTGGCAAAGTTTCACCCAGACAACATTGCAAGTTTGCCAACACGCAATTTTGTGTCTGCCATGGGTTTAGGTCCGGACTTGAACGTAAACCTCTGGACTTGAATCTGGACCTGAACCTAAAATTGGGTTTAGGTAATACGTATGCACCACTATCTACATGTATAGTACATGTATCCCTGCTTTCACCCCCCCCCCCAAAAAAAAATTGTACACCAAAACCTTGTGAAGGCAAATTTACCGTCGTTAAGGGTTTTCTCATTGGTCCAATTTGTGCGGTCCTTCAAGTTGCGGAAATGCGGGTGGTTCTCGCTCAGTCCCGTGTCGAACACTGCCACCTTGATGCCACTCCCTATTAAATAAAACATAAATCATAATTAGCTTGAAAACAGTTCAATTCTTTCACTATATGAACTATAATTATGAAGATTTTGTAATTATCAAAAATTGAACAAAACAAGAAATCTGAGGTTTCAAACTTTCCAGAAATGGTTTGTGCTCAACTAACTTACATGTCATGAATTACATCAAAGATGGGGGTTAAAATCATCTTTATTTCAATATACATGTATATACTCGTTGAAGTACACCTAGGCCAGCCCTTTATGTCATTAAGAGGAGGGCACAAGGTAAGTAAAATGTAACGAGTAACTGTGTGCATCGGACATTAAACTTTCGATTAAAATTGTTTTCTACACATACATTTCATTTAATATATGTATACTTACAAAAAATGTTTTATAGATCTTAAAGATTAAAAAAAAGAATCAAGCCTGTTGCATCAAATTTATCTTTTACAAGAGAATAGCCCTGAGGTACTTTCCCAACTCTGTGTTTCTAGCGCAGTATATGGCATAAGATGCACAAAGTGCGCACTTCCCCAGTCTACTTTAGCCATACAATTGCATGACGTAACATTCTCTGCTATCACCAGATTCCCTGTACATTACAGTTCTGCCTTTCCCTGCAAATGGTCCACTTTTTTCACGTGCCCCTTGTGTACAGCCCTAAGACTTTATTAGTATCAGTATAGCAGGGCTTGAAATACTTCTTTTCAGGTACGTGGAAAATTGCACATTGCCAAAAATGCAAAATTACATTTATGTCGATGAAGGTTAGACATCCAGGTAATAAGATATGCCAAAAAACAGTTACTCAAGCAACTGGATATGATTTTTCTGGTAGCATCCACTACCTTTCGTCAGTGACAATAAGAGACCACAGGAGAAAGGCAGGTTTATAAGCAAGAACTATTGATCGATAATTATGCAAGTAAGTGATGACAATTTTTTTTTGGAAGTCCCAAAGGAAACAAAACTTAGGCAAGTCAAGACAAGGATGATGCAAATGAGTCAAGAAGCTTCTGGGCTGGGAGTGCCACCGAGAGCTATTAAATATTATATACATAAACGAATATTACATGTAGCTGTCGGGGAGGGCCTTACCAGAGAAGCCCATGGCCCAGAGCAGGTCTGCCTGCAGCACGTTGGTGATCTGGCGCGGGACCGTACGCAGCAGGCGCCGGCTCGTGTGGCGGCCCGTGGAGTGCCAGAACGCCGCTCCCTGGAAAAACATACATCATTCTGTCAGCATAGTTCATCTGTGTTGGTAATAAGGCCACACCAATTTAACTTGTTGTTTCTCCGATTTTGTCAGGAAAAATATGAAGCGACAGGGAGAAAAAAAAATTAAAAAAAAACAGGCCAAGGCACTTCATGATAGCCGGAAATGTTACGATATGAGCCATGAAGTCAACATACCAGGCTGGTTTAGATTTTGAACTTTAAATGAAACAAAATTGCACTGTTACATTGAAAAAAGCATTTTGCAGATGTAGAACCCCAAAAAAATCTTTTTTTTTCCAGATCAGAAAAAAATTGACAGGGCAAATCCGAGAATCAATAAATTGAATTGGTATGGCCTTAATAACCAATCACTTCTGACTGTAAACTTGCGACAGTTACTGTTACAGTAACAGTTACATACAGGTTATTCACACAAGACTTTACTCCCTGGCATGTTTGATCAATTGCTGATGTCACGTATCCGTAAAGTCTCTGGTAAATATGGTCACGTGTCTGTAAATGTAACTCTCGCGAGTTTACGTTCACAAGTGATTGGTCATTCTTGGAGATCAAACTTCAAACATTTTACTACGGTAACCACACATCATCCTGATGTTAAAAAGGTGCGAGGGCATTAGCAAGTAAAGCTACGGTCACAACCCGCCATACGTGCTTCTGCGTGCTGTCCACGAGCAAAAACGTGGGCAAACGTAGGGCATCCATGCGTGGTGTGTACCACCTCCGTACAGAATCCTACGGACTTGGGAGCACGCAGACACGCCGTAGAACTTACAGTGCATGTAAAACTTTTTCTACGTGTGGTCTGCGGATTCACCACCCGTGCGTGCGAGTACGGGAGACGCGCGTGCCCCGTACGTGCCGTGCGGAAGAAGCACGTGTGAGTATGGCCTCCTTACGGTAAAGTTGCAATCGCACAGAGATCGTACGTTGTAAGCATGTACAACTCACCACTTGCGCAACGTACGATGCACGCAACCGCTCACGGCCAGACGTGGTGTGCAGACCACACTCTTACACCTTGCGCAACGTGCGAGTGACATGCGAGTGACGTGCCACTCCTTCCCCACGTTTTCAGAAAAAACGTAGCAGACGTAGCCTCCAAAAAAACATACAGAGAAAAAGCATGTAGGGCGAATTGTGACCAAGGCTTAACACGGGCTCAGCAGTAAACTGCCACATTCAAACATCGCAGGCAGAACAATAACACTACACTGCCAACAAGCTGCAGAAACCATACATTTGTACTTGTTCTGTTACATGTAAGTTAAACAAAATAATTAATAATTGTACATTCTCGTGAACAAGTTGTCTAGGTTAAAAGCAAGCAACTGCACTGAACAAATACATCAGATTCTGTAATTCCCAATTACATTGTGGGCATTAATGCATGAATCACATTAGCACGGTTGGTATCTTCCTAGTCATCTTTGATTGTGAAGGACTACCAAGACCATCTATTTCAAGTTGAAACATGGCCATTTTCCCAAGCACGAGGAAAAAACGTGCAATACTAAATAATAATAGTATCCAGTAGCCAAGCATCCATTTATTTCATGACATCAATAAGTGTTTATTCTTGCATTTGAAGCAACAATTTTCCTACAAGTGCTGGTCTAGCACAGCATATCTTATACGAAAATAGTATAATTTGCCAAATTGTACATGCTAGATATATTGTTATTGAAAAGATACGTGTATGCATGTTCTGCCCAAAATACTTTAATAGAGATGACTTTGCAGAACGTATACTAGTGGTTAGTAGTCCCAACTTTCAAGTCAACAAGTTTCATAAACACAAAACAACTGTGTGTCCTGACTTAATACCTTCTTTACTGTCACTTTATTCTTAGTTCTCTTCCCGAGAGCCCTGTCTGCTTTAGCCTTGGGTTTTATAAACTCAGGTAGCGGGCGTAGTGGCATCTTCCGTCTGGCTTGGCCCTTGCGGTTGAGGAGGACTTGGTCCAGAACTTTCTTCCTGGGCTGAAAGTTCCGGAAATAGCACCTTTTATAAATTGTGCAGGTGCAAGCGTAAGTAATCGACATGTATGTTCCGTATCCGACAATCTGTATCTGCATCAACATAGCCTAAGTAACAAACCAGCTTTGCAGACAAGAGGCATGGCAGCAGCTGGTTGTATTACGGGTGCACAGAACAACTTGTTGTAGCCTTTGTACATCTACATTGTACAGTAGCCATTGTTTAAAGCTTTAGTGATGATGCTCCTCCTACTGTACTTGGTGGTACTGTAGTAGGTTGAATGGGTTGTTGCGCATAAAAAACATTTATGTACCAATTTTCCCTGGTACATGTAGTTTACTATTAGTCTTCCCCTGTCTCAGAAACATCCTTTTTCAAACTAAGTCTTTCATGAAAGTACCCTAACTTTTAATAGCAGCAGAAAGCTGAAACAAATCTGATCATTTGTCTCCTAACCATTTGAGATGGTTCCGTTATTCCGATAAGTAACCGTACAGACTCCAGTCCTCGGAAAGGTTGGCGAGATAAAATCAGCTGTATGAAGGAGACGGCTCGGTAATGGGTCTTCACCGTCCCCCTTGAGAAGCGATGAAATGCTGCCACATATCATATCTGCCACATCTTACACCGCCTGGTCCTCTGCGGAGGCAGGCTACCATTAACGCACATCCAGGAACTTGCCGGCAGAGTGTGCCGACATCTTACGCCAAATCCTCGACAAATCTGCTGCCGTCCGCGTATGGTTCCAAATCCATTTGCTCACGATCAAGGGTTCCACAAAATGGCATCTTGTACATGTATGTACAGATCCCGATCTCGTTTACGACGCAGCATTTACCAGTGGAGATACAGACAGAATAAAGCTTTCTATAACCTGTGTTTTACTTGGGGAACCACACTAGCTTCGCTAATTGTCTTCGCTTATATCTATGGTCAGGTCATCAGTAAATCATAATGTACTGTCGCAACCAGGAGATCTGTTAACTCTGAAGAAAACTTTTCTTTCTTTTTCAGTATATTCTTTTTTACGATGTTGTTCATTCAATGCAGAAGATTTAGCGGGTAGTTTGGCATGTCTAGAGCAATGCCTGCCAAGTTACATATGATACGCTATTCCTCACCGTGCGCTATCGGTAGTACAGGCTTTTGGGGCTATCATTAGGAGGCTTTCAGTTGCTGTGAGCCAGGATATCTTCCTCCGGCAGAAAGCTCTTCCTCGGACGCTTCCTCTCACAGTTGTAGCGAACCAAATCAACCCTTTCCAACACTCCTCCCCCTGGCCACTTGTATACTGCTGAAGAATTGTATCTTCCCTCACTTCTCTCCCCAACGCTGTAATAAAAGTGGCTCAGTCCCTGCTGCTAGATTTATTTTATTACCCAGTTGCTGAGGGAGGGTGGTAGAATCATAAATGGTCCACCCTGAAGAGCGAACATCCCTCAGAAATAATGTAACCCTTGCAGGTTGTAACCTTCTTCAACGTTATTGAAACTGCATATCTCCTTACGGTTTGCTTCATTCTCGATCGCAGCGAAAAAAAGGAAGCAGCCGCACTAAATGTCATCCTTTCAAGAAGTATGTACGCTGCACCTCCTCCTTTTGGCTTTTGAACCTTAAATTACTTGTCACATGTTTGGAGACCTTAAGACATTTTTTTACATACATATAGCCAACGGCATTGAAAACTGAAAGAACTGCTAGCCGCATTAATCATGCTTTTACGCCCAGTAGCCATACACAGTGAATGAAATACTGTAGTACTTACATTATAACTCTAAATAGATGTGTGCATTTCGTGCACATGAGTCAATATTCTATCTTCTAATTACAATGGGATCTACGTATTTTATGCAATGATATGCATGATTGTGCAAATCATCACTTGGATTTCTACATGATTGTGCTTTCTACAGTAAATCTAGAAACAAGAATTCGGAGAGCTCATACCTCCATGAAATATATGAGTTTTTGTACATGTTTTTACACAGTATACTTCAGAACAAAATAACACAGGCTTTTTTTTTCAAACACACAGCTAATACAGTAGCACCTTTGGCCTGAAATATGTACAATGTACAGCACAGGCCACGAAATACGCATCAGTTTTCGCGGGACGTTCTGGGAAATACCGCGGTACGTCCTGCGGTATATCGCGAAACGCCGTGCGGAATATCGCGAAACGCCGTGCGGAATATTGCGGAAGGCCGTGCGGAATATTGCGGAAGGCCGTGCGAAATATTGCGGAAGGCCGTGCGTAAGATTGCGGAAGGCCGTGCGTAAGATTGCGGGAGGTCCCGCAGAATTTCGCAGAACTGTCCACTGGTAATGGAAACGCCGCTGCGAAACTTCTTCTGCGTAAGAAATCTTTCGCAAGATTTCGGTCGTTAATGAGCAGCTTTTGTATTCTGAGATTTACATGACACTTAATCCACCTCATTTTCACGTATTTGTTGATAATTTGTGGACAATCCCGGGGATTATCAGCGCGGCGGGTCCACGCTGCCACGGCTGTGCTTGGGCGATTGATGTTTACTATTTGAAACGCTGAGTTTGTTCCGATCCGTGTGATTCCAATAAACATCTCACATAACTACGAACTAGTTGGAAGAATGATAGATGCATGAATGCCTGTGTATGATTTAACAAACAAAATCTGACGCTATTATAAAAACTGCCAGACGCTCTTCTCCGCTGGAACAACGCAAGCTGGAGGTCAATGACCTGCGGTCGAACACGTAATGTGTATCGTCAACATTTTCTGCAAGGCATGACTTCGCCGAAGAAACCACTTTTTAAAATTTTAAGCTTTAAATGCTTCGACTCTGAGGCCAAAAATAACGAAGTTTGATATTGTCCCTGTTTGCAAGGACGCTATATGTTGTAGAAGCTCCTTGCTGTTTGTGATTATCGATTCAGAACTACGTGATACATTTTAGAGCGAGGCATTTTCCCATAGCCACACGCACATATTATACTTGATCGACAGGCGTTTCCCTTTGAAGAAGTTGCCGCCCCTGCCGTCGGCGCCAACAGTCTAGCTGGGCTGCTCCAATGATTTCGCCCGTCTTCGTTACAAACACGATCTTCACCGACTATAACCGAGGCTCTGTGATTGGTGTCTATGTGACAAATTTATATTCGCCTATCTTCGTTACGTACAGTTCCGATCTTTACCGACTATATGTATAATCTACTAACGTTACTAGTATTATCTAGGTTCTCTATTCGAGTGTACGTGTATAGATTCAGGCGTTCGTTTGTTGTTGCTGACGGAAGACACGTGGTAATATTCAGAGTCGAACTAACGTTTTTGCATATGAGAATTAATATTATTGTGCCAAGCGCGAAGCATAATTCAAGGGTTCTTTACGCCCCATGGCTTTGTTGACACGCATCAAAAATTGATACATTTCGTTCGCCACGCTGTTGGGCCGGGCGTTCCCACGCACGTCGCCATAGTAACAGCACGTAGCAGCAGCGGCACTGGTAGACTCCCTGGCGCCGCAGACCACGTGGCGTTCCGGCGCGCCAATCACAGCGCGCAGACGGGGACCCGCCCACCAGCCGGGCCACAGAAGAGTTGAGACTCCGCCCAGAGACACCGCCTGAAGATTGTTAGACGACAGTAGCTTGTTCCGCCCTGCACGGCCGGCGCGGCTTTGTAATTTTCTTGTCCCGATTTCATCCCAAAATTTTTCACAGAGTCAACTTTTATAGTCTGAGAACAAATGAATCTGCGTCAAATTTTGCATAACACGTCAGTTCGGGTTGTCCGTACCGTGTTTATTTATTTTTCGGGTGCGTTGCCGTTTTTTTTTTTGGTCTAAAAAAATCGACTCCATTTTCATCGCACCCACTACATCGCACCCTCTACATCCTCGCGCAGGTTTAATTCAAAACTACACAAACAATACATGAATCTGTTCCTTACAAATGTATTTCTCAATATATCCGAATCCAAGATCACTATATTTACAAATTGTACGATTTTTCACGATCAAAATTGTCCGGCATTTCTGGACGCACGTTACGAAGCGCTCCCTCCCACTCGAGTGCAACACACGTCCACCGCTACGAACCCTCTGCATTCTCGCCAATCCTCGCGCTAATTAACTCAAAACCACACAAACTACACACGAAACTGTTCCTTAGAATGTATATTTTAAACATCTAAATCCCAGAATGGTAACTTTGCGAATTGTACGAAATTTTACGGTTAAAAACTGATTGGTTGTTGCTCGGAAGCCAGCGGCGGCGTGGGGTGACGGACAAAGAGTAAAATTATGTATTTCTTTCAAAATGCTTGTTTTGTTTTGTACGACCAAAAATAGACTATTCTAGTAAATAAATTCAGGACTGAAAGAAT